ACTGAAATTATCCCATTCAGTTAGAGTTTGAGTTTGTTCACTCGAATATGGATAACTGCTGAGTGGTTTGCATAACAGCTGGTTCATTTTAATAATTGTCTTACGAAACTGCCTTTCAATAATTCGACCACATATTTTTGCACTGACTCGACGACTAGATAGTTGCCTACAGCATGACTAAGTTCATCCAAAAAGGGTAAATACAAGAGCGAACAGAACAGTTATTTCGTTCCGCGTTCTATTCCCATCGCAATAAATGTCAAATTGACCTTGAGGAAGTTTCCTGTATTTACAATTATATTATCCAACGATGTATCGATCTTAAAAAAATTGTTTAAAAATATACTTAATACTTTTATTTTGACTTGACAGTGTTAGTCTGCGATTCTTGAGTTCGTGAGTTCTAGCCCCGGTTTTGCCAAGGAGTTTCTGTCTGTATGAGCAATACATACCTGCTCTCGTTCGGCAATGAAACATATCATAAATTATCACGTGCATTGAGTATGTCTAACATATAAAATCGAGCATATATATCAGGCACAGATGGCTGATTTAGTTGTCTTTAGGAACTAAAAAAAATCTAGAATGTTCAGTTCTAAACCCACAAAGAGATGTAAAAACATTAGATTCAATACAAGAACTATTTGATAACTTTTATACTTAATACGAATAAACGTACTCATCCAAAATAAATCCCAAAATTAATACAACAATAATATTAACCATTATTAATGCTTGGACAAGAACAATGGTCCTAAAATAACTAATTGCACACATTAAGGCATTATACATTTTAAGTTAGCATAGTCACAATATTATTGTGTTGGCGAAACCCGATAGGGTAGGCAATAATAATATTATTCATTCATAATATTCCACAACACACGTTATCTAACCGCACTGACTGTTTAGACCAAGAGACAATTTATTTAAAAACGGTAAAAATTTATTGTTTTCTGTGTTCCTCGTTTGTGTGCGCCAAAGTATTTTTTATTCTTTGTGGAAGGTGTCAGAAAGTTGACGAATTGGTACCAAAAATCAACGATGTATCTATAAATTAAGAAGTCATATAATAGTCTATAAACGAATTGTGTTGATTCCTCAATATATGAATTTATTTTTTTTAACTGGGGGCAAATGGGCATAAGGCTCATCGGTTGTTAAGTTATACCGACGCCCATGGACACTCTCAATGCCAGAGGGCTCGCGATTTCGTTGCCAGCCATTTAAATCTAAGGCCAAGAGTCATCGGTGGTTATACCGCTATTCGATTGTATTTGAGCTTAACATAGTAGTTTTTTGTATTCCAATATTTTTATGTACGTTAAGTCTCCTAAGAACCTTGGTGCCTTTTTAAATCTGTCCGGTTATTTTGATTCATTCGAGCAAAATATTCAAAACATGCTGCTTGCTGGATATTTCAAAACTGTATGCACTTAAGCTCCACAGCATTATGCTGAGCCAGGGCCAGTTACAATCACAACACACACTCATTACACACTTAAAATGTACCTGATTCCTTTTTTTTCAATATTTTTTTTTGTTTTTTGTTTTTTTTGTATTATTATTATTTTGTGTGTTTCGTTAGTAATAAATGTTATGTCTATTGTTTTTAACTTAAAAAACCTGTCTTAAAATATAGAGATTTTGAAAATGTATGAAATTATATTAGAAAATAAAAAAATGTTTAACTAAATCTATAACTATATGTATAGCACCAAAGAGGTATAAAACGTATAAACTTTATTTGAAACAGTGTTTTGTTTTAAGAAGTTGTACCTTCAAATAATTTATATCAACAGAGCCAAGAGGAAAAACTTTTTCCGTTATGATTTAAGCTATAGCAAACAAAATACTACATGTCCTGACCTGATATCACATCTGAAAAGCGGCTTAGAAAAACGATCGATCCGTAGATTGAGAGAGATTCTCTGCGTAGTGCGCGTGATGACGCCAAATGGCTTGATGAAACCGACGTTGATCTTCAACAAAGTACAGTGCCAACAACTGACTTGTAAGGTCCATTTGTTAGTATTGAAAAAAGTCTTGCTAATCTGTGACAATGTACATTAAATATGTTCATGTACTAATACAATATATGTTTTTCGCATGATTACACCATTCCTTTAATATTATTTTTATGCCAGTCAAAAACAACCTGCAACCTTTCTGTCTAGACATTTTTATCATGGTCCTTAATTTTCTAGAATAGGATTAAATTATACTTTACATACATACTTAAAGATAATATTATAAAAAATTTAAGATTCTTTATAGGTACTAAAAATACACGTGATTTTTGGTCGGGGGGTAGTCTTAAACCTCACCACGTATCACCATGGGGGAGGGAGGGGTTAAAAAATGTTAAAAAAACATCACGTGATTAATGGACTGCCCCTAAGACACAGGGAAATCTATAACATAACTGATATCAAAAAGACATTTAATAATTGTACACCTAGATGTTTTGTTCTTAGAATAAAAGTTGCTGGCATAAAATTACATATGACGATACCGCTAGCGGAAGTTTCAATGATCGAATCAAGCACCGAATAAAATGAGATCATAAACTGGTTCTTACACTACGTTATGTTTACTACAACCCATGACTCATATTTCGCGGTAACCGCATAGAATTAAGGGGAAATCGCCCTCAAGATGGTATCTACTAGCGCCTATGTGTCATAACACGGAATTAGGTACGTTAGTAGGACTGAATGAAAAGATCTATATGAAAATTGGTATGAAGTTGTATGCTATAAAGCAAATGAACCTGTTAACTATGAACAAAATAAAGTAAACACTTTTTGGTCGAGGAAAACATTTTAATAATTAATTTAAGTAATGCAATTTTTGCTTAAAGGTAGCCGTAATATGATTTTGATATAACATTCATCGTTTCTTCTTCTAATTTGATTTCAGAACAAGTTGAAGGATTCACCTGATATTGCTAAGTGTTAATACGGTGTATTCAAAGATATTCGCGGACTCTGCGTTATATTTTCGTGAAAGTCTTTGTGGAACTTTTAGTTTATCGTAGTGTTTTTCTGCTATAACTTTTTTTAGTACTTCAAGTATTATAGTTGAATATGAAAGTAAAGTTTTCTAATACCACATACACCTTTCATTGTCAATAAGTCAATATGAACAATCATTTAAAAATTAATGTTCTTCTTTTGAAAAAGCAGCAAACACTCACCTGAAAAGCGTCTTTTTCGACTGAATCTAAATAAGTTAATTTAAAAAAAGAACGTTGAATTGTAGACCTCCTCAGAGTTTTTAAAGTTGGTGAAAATGAATCTTTATTCGTAGGAAATAAAGATTAATCAATAAATGTTCTTTAATTGAAATCAACCAAGGCTGTGTTTATTTAATTTAAAACAATTTGTTTATTGAGCCCAGTGCTAGGTTAAGGTTGCGTTGATCTAGAACATAATATGTTTAGATTGTGTATTATATATTTTATTATGGCACTGATCTTCATGTTTATATAAATTGTGTGTTGAATATGTGACAGAACTAGTAAGATCCTATTGCGTCCAAATTGTAGTATCTATTTAAATAATAACCTGATTTTTAGTAATAAAGATTTCTTTATTTGTCATTCATGTACATAGGAACCCATTTATTAACGAATTAAAAAAAAACTGCACGGTTAGCAATTCCAATTGCCATGCAAACACAATTAAATTAATTGTTGCTTCAGGATACTTATTGCTTTCGAAGCGTATGTTCGTGATATTAATCTTGCATTTGATAGGTTTTCATACACGACTATACTCAAAGCGGGAGTTAATGAAATTAACAATATATGAAAGCATTGAGTCAAAATTAAAAAGTTTCTTGGCGTTATGAAGCTCCACTGGTTCTTCTGTGTCTGACAGACATCGTTGGTTTTTTGGTCTAATTGATGCAGCTTTGAACGCACAATCTCAATCACACGTTATCACTGCGTTAATGGCTGTCAATTATATCAATATACATATTAAATTATCATTTAAGATACAACAGTAAAAAAATAATATAATTTACAGTTTTATTACTAAATTTAGTCGTTTCGTGGAACAAAGAAGTACCTACCGGTGACACATAAAGTCATCAGTTGATTAATACGGAGAGAAATATTTAATGAATCAGTACTAACCATAAACCACTCTAGGAGATACAGGAAATTGTTTGTTAAACTACATTAAGTTAAATACACTCTTATGCAATCTCAAACGCTATTTAGGGATTGTCAAATGTTGTATTATTAAAGAAATAGTTTGAAATATATGGTTCCATAGATTATAGCAGGAACTAATAGGTTAAAAATACACTAAAGCTTTATAACACAGTATATGATATCGTTTTCCACGTTTAAAAACCTTATTCATTGCTAAGATACGTAATTTTTTCTTTCCTTGTTCTGAATGGCGCTTAAGAATATTAAACAAAGGTACTTTTTAATTACTATGTAATTGTGTAATGACTTATAACAATGAAAAATAAAGACATAAATTGTACGTTTCTAGAATTACAATTTTCTAGTCCCGTAGAACGCAGTTTTTTTATAAAAGTTCTGCTTTTTCAACCTTACTAATCTATAAATGTATAAAACAAAACAATAATACATAAGTATTTAACAATGATTCTATATGCTTCACTTTAATACAGAATTGAACGGTGTATAATCGGAACAGAATTTTTGAATTTATACATTGCAAAGAAATATAGCTACTAAAAGGTATTACGTAAATGACCATGCATATTAGTTCTAATGAAGACTAAATGCTTGCTATCTGTGTATCAATTACTTAATTTTTTTAAATACTATCAACGTGGGTGAAGCCTGTAATAAGGCATAATTTAAGGTAACACTAACAACCGATACGTCACCAATTCCATTAATCCTTATGAATCACGCAACCTTGATACAAACCATAGTTTATATAACCAACAACGCTTCAACCAACTTAACGCCATTCAATTTCAAACGCGGGCGCAGTGTGCACGTCAACATGGGTAGCTACGGTATTTCTAAAGTGACCTTATATGTTTTAAACACGATCTACGCGGTATTGGGCTTGGCCATCGCCGCCGCGTCGATATGGTTCTTTTGCCAAGTCACCGAGTTCACAACGCTAAGGAATAGTAACCATTATCTTCTGGATTATACCGTCTATTGGCCCCAAGCTATACCCTGGCTGTTTTTGATTGTTGCGTTCCTTGTTCTGGGTGTGTCAGCGTGTGGATTTAGCAGTGCACATAAAAACAGTCGTGGTTTGATCACCGTGTTTGTCACTGCGCAGTCGATAGCGATTATTTGTCTGATTGCTGCAGCCGTTGTGGCCCTTGTGTTCGCCGACAACAAATCTACGGACGACTTCGTAAAAGATACGGTGTGGGATGTGTACTTCCAGACCAAGACAGATAACGAAGTAGCGACGTCTTTTGGCGTTATCGAGAGAAAGCTGCACTGCTGTGGGGCGGACAGCCCGAGGGATTACAAGAACTGGAAAAATGAGTTCCCCATGTCCTGTTGTGATACTTATTACCACGGATTTCTTGATGCATACACAATTGATTGTGAGTTCACGAATAAACTAGCTAATGAAAGACACGGATGTTCAACGGTCGCTGCGCAGTACGCAAGAATTGTTATTAAAGTACTGTCTGGAGCGTCGATTTTTACAGCTATAATTGGGATGATGAGCCTTGGAGTTGCCGTAGGCTTGTCCAAATCAATAGCGAAGAAACGAAGAATACAAGCGTTGAAAAATGAATCAGAGAGCAAAAAGGTTCTATTGTAATTGATCAAGGATTTTCTATGTAAGTACAAACTTGGCCAAAGATTATTTTTAGTTTAAAGTTATTTACGCCTGTTTTGGGGCAGCTTTGATCCTATGGTTGAAGTTTTATTGTCGTGCAGTTTTAAGGGATTTCATAATATTTTAGATTGTAAAATGTTTTTTGAAATCGTAGTTTGGCCAAGTTTTAGAGAATTGTAAACATCTTTGAGTATGACATCACATTTTAAAGCAATTACTTCAACGATGTGATCTTGATTTAGGGTTCTCACCTGTCCATTTATATACTTGTTTTATTATATTCTATACATCTAGTAACAGATTAGATTTGGTGTGGCTCTAACACACCCATTTTTTTAAAGCACCATAGTTACTTTCTTTCGTACCTTCGCAGATCTTTCCGCACGCTTTTGCCACACCAAGTTTTTTTCTCTTTTTAATGTATATTAGTATTTAATAGGTGCAGTGGGTTATAATAATTTTGGAGTCCCACTGTAGAAATATGAAATAATACTGTCAGAGGAGGATTATTTATGTAGAATCTCAGTGTCTTTGTAAATGATGGTAAAAGTTGGGGATTATTTTGTTTTGGTTGGTAGCCCTGTATTTATCAATTTTTAAGACTGCACAATCTAGCATTTACTCAATTTATGCTTTAATACGAGTACATGTCGACATTTCGAATAAATAAATGAATTACATTTAATGTACATAGATAAATTAGTTATAATATTTATAAATACTTTGTGCTAATTTTAAATAAGTTTAGTATACGATTTATAATTGTAATATAGTGATAGATTTTATATTTTATTATGGTACCATGATAAATAATATTTTGAAAAATTTTATTGTCTTTCTTTCGTTCCTTACATATTATAAATTATTAATTTTGTATGGCCTAGATTTTACGCCTAACATTCTTGTCCACCATGACCATTCAGTACTTAGCAATTACGATTACTTTTTTTACTGATATAAAAGGGTATAGAACCTTCGTTTACGACATTGTACCTAATCCTAAACATAAAAACGTTTCAATAAACAGTTTTGTTCTAAACGACAAATCATAGTAATTGGCGTATAGATGGCTTTTCCGGTTACGAGACCTTACATGCAGTAAGGATCGGTGGATTCTGTTTCATTAAAAAATATACTATGAAAAATGAAAATACAGGTAAATCTATCTATTGTACGATTGAGAGGTATCTTTTAGCGTAGCCTAAACATATTGCCTTGTAGGTGATCAGGCTTCTGAGTCTTGTAAGTGGAAACAAACTATCATGTGTACAATTGTTTGTTCGTTGTATCAGCTTGTCGACGTCCATTGCTGGACATCCCCTCAATTTCCAGTACGACCGGACAGTTCCATGTATGGGGGCTTTACTAGCAAAAATACGCAACTTCTTGTTGTATCATAAATAATTGTGGCGCTATTTCCTTCAGACTTCATTGTATGTTTTCTTGATCTTTTTTTTCATAGGCCAGTGATCAGGCCCCTGTGCTTCACGTTTTCCTTCAGTAATGGTTTCCTTAATATGTCCCGCCGTAAGAGCGAGTAATAACTATAATAAATGAACAGAGAAAATTCCGAGATTCAAACGCAGGATTGTGAAAAATCAACAAACCAAAAGTTGAGTCATGTTTTTCCCATAATATATAATTCATGTCATTAAATAATTAATAATAATTTATGTAACTTTCGAATAGAGGACGCAAACGCGTTGCATACAAACGACTGTATTTAATAGGGCGGCCATTTGTGATAACAATGGCATATATATATATATATATTGTTTGTACACAGACCGTATAATCGATTTCGTTATTCAGTATACTAACGCCCTCTATTGTACGACAGTTACAACCTTTTTTTAAAGTGAATAGGGGGCCAAACGAGCCTACTGGAAGCCCAAAAAGGGCAGTCATCGCAGCCCATGGACAATTTTAGCGGGTGCGTAGCCGGCCTTTGAGGGTTTGATTTGGAGAGGAAGGGGATGAGCTTCCAGGAGTCCCACACACACTAAACGAAACTCACTTTTCAATCGGAAAGTGGTATTTACCTGATCGTATCGGCTCATTCGGCTGCTTATGCAGCATGATACCCCCACTAGTTAGACTAACTGACTGCGGTGGTGGAGAAATAGTTGTTGCTCAATTATCTCACCAGAGGGCGATGCGGTCGTCACTTCCCTACGCTTTACTACCCTGTAGTCGCCTTTTACAACACCCTAGGGTAGAGATGGGGAGGGGCTATTCTATAAACCGGCAACACACGGCACATGAAAATAACATACATAAAATAAAAAATTTATACACCTATAAAATTGATAAATATCTTTGCATAATAATATAAAGTTGTATCCTTCAGGCTTAGATGTAACGGATTTTCATGCCGTTTAAATTAATAGACAGAATAGCCGATGATTTAAGTATAATTTAAAATTGTCTTTGGTTAACGTAAAAAGTACTTAAGACAATTAAAATTATCTATCTTGGCTATCTAACCCATAATTCGGTATCTCGCTGACCGGGTTTTTAGTTGTGTCTTAATAGTTTTAGATTTTATTTTGTCTTATATTCTACACTTCATCCTACAAGTATATTTTAGGTGGAAAAGGACAGTAGAAGATAACCTTTTTTGATAAACAGTATTATTAGTACGTTTTTCTTATAAATAAATAACTAACATTAAGCTTAATAACATAACCTAAAATAGAATTTAATAAAAACGGATACATTATAGCAATATTTGTAATAAAATTCTATACCGACTAAAAATAGGATCAGAACATCTTCATCATTTCCTCATGGAAATACACCTACACCTTATGCTTTTCTCACAGTGTCCATTTAACTGGGCATTCGAGACTCAGTAATTCCTCCAATTGCCACGTAATGTATGAGCTACTTCCTCATTGTGCGCTAGCGTTTCATCCAATCATTATGTTATTTGCCTTAAGTCTCCTTGCATAAAGCCAAAGGTCACTGTCTTGTGCTGTCAACGATGAGGTACATAAATAAAATAAGGTGCTGTTATTGACATTGTATATTATTTAATATGCTATTGTATTAGCCTAGTGGCTTCAGGGTGCAGCTCCTATCCCTGAGGATGACCTATGAAGGTTCGATTCCCGGCTGTGCACCAATGGACTATCTTTCTATGCATTTAACATTTGCTCGAACGGTGAAGGAAAACATCGTAAGGAAACCGGCTTGCCTTAGACCAAAAAGTCGAAGGTGTGTGTCAGGCACAGGAGGCTGATCACCTACTTGCCTATTAGATTGACAAATGATCAAGATAAAAATACAGACATCTGAGGCCCAGACCTACAATGGTTGTAACACCACTGATTTTTATTAACGACTGCTAGGGAGTTCCGTGGTTCTTAAAATGTTTGAAAAGAATCTATGCTATGTTGGTTGGTGATTTTAAACATGTCTGTAAGTATATTCTTCAAAATAAATCACTGTTTTTGCATCACAGGAAGAGAAGAAGGAGTTAGGAGTTTATTGTTACAGAATAATAACAAATATTTAGCGTTTATGTATAATGTTAACGATTAATAGATTCTGTGTTGCCTATAATGATGAATGAAACTAACGCGCAAATGTGTCGTCGGCCCTCAGATAGCTTAAATTTTAATTAAATAATAGCCAATGTATAGGTACAACGATACAAATTCCATCCGTTTCACCTCGACGTGCGCCGTTCCACAATTGAGCGTTTTAAAACGCTGTGGAACCAGCTGCCCACTGAAGTATTTCCGAACCAATTCGACTTATTAAGACAATAGCGTACCAATTTTTAAAAGGCCGGCAACGCACTCGCAAGCCTTCTGAAATTGAGTGTCCGTGTGTATCACTTCCGATGTACCTGCTGCCCGTTTGCCCCTGTTCAATAAAAAAACTCTTATCAAGTTATCAAAAATCTGCTTAATTTCTTTTATAGACACGATGATGCATTGTCTTTGATGACTAAGATATCAAGTGCCGATGTTTTCCTTCCTTGATCAAGTGCAATTTCGCGCATAGAAAATTAATTTAGGAAAAATAATACGCAAATAACATAATATATGTTTTATATTTATGAAAATCGCTGCTCAACACGTGTGGATTATAAGAAAAATATGAAAAGAAACTTAAACATGTACACAACCTACATACAGCTTGTCACATATTAACATACATTAGGGCACATTGCGCAACATATTTTCTTTGCAACGAAAAATTTCGTAACGCAAGTTTTTTTCTATTTACAATGCAAATTAGACTAATATTTTTTGAAATAGTGGTAATGGTGGAACTTCTCTTTCTACATCTCATGACTCCGAAATTCGAGGTATTCAAAAAGACTTCCTATATAGTATATGTCTGACTCTGCTTTTATAGTAATTTATTAAGTCTCATAGAAGTATTGGTTGAAAAAAAAAGAAAAAGTTTTCCAACAATAACTTTGTATCTATAATATTATGTAGGAGTAAAATCGCAAATGGCAATCATATTTTTGTGTGTGTGGTGGCACTGAAAAAATGCAATGTTGTTGCGTTTTGGAATATTATACTAAAATCTAATACTATATTATTAATAGCTAATGAATTTCTTTGTTTTTACTTATTTGTAAATAATATCTTATTTAATTATGAAATTGAATAACTTGTTATAATGGATTTTGTATTGAACTAAAAAGGCAATCTTTTCTTAAATAAAAATGTTAATGTGCGACGCAATATTATTAATTAAAACCTGTTCGATTCCCTGCCAAAAAGTTGCAAAATAATCTGACCTAACCTTCATGCAAGAGGTCCAAAACATTCCGAAAAAATCTCTGGTCAAGCAAAACAAAATCTTCACTTTCGATTATGGCCTTGCGTGACGCAACCTTGTGCAGGTACATTAAGTATGCCATCGTGTCTTAAGCTATGCCAGGAAAATCACGTATACGTGACAGCTTTTATAGCGCACGACTTTTATACGATAGGTATGCATACGAGTTTATTTTTACTTCCTACGACTTGTGACTAATAAGTTTATTGTTGCTATTTAATTATACAGATTTTACATTGAGGAAGTCTCTCGCAATGACCTATTTCCTTCTTTTATTCAATAAATTGTATTTAATAAGTAATAAGCTTAATACAGATTATTTGTAACATATCTTATAACTGAAATAAAAAAAAGGTTTTTGAATCATTAATTCTAATTAATATAATAACATATACATATTAGGAAAGCAAAAATTGAAGAACGCTTTAATGAAAAAACTTTTGAAATTAAGATTTTCATTAATAATCTAAAATTATATAAAATGAAATGATAAACCTTTTTAATATTTAAAAGTAATTTAGTCTGTTAGTCTGAGACTGTTACTACCTTTAACAAATTATTCGTAATTTAATTAAGTATCCATTAATTAATAAAAACGTTAGCTAATATTTTTGCCGATTAATGACATATTTTGAATTACAACGCCGCCGTCGTCGTCGTATCGTACAGTATTAACTGCCTTATTCTAAGCTTCAATCTAGGTGCGCGCGAGTTTATAAATTTCCTCGCATGATTGCATCGGTTTCCATTCCGTTCCAAACCACGAGACACGTCGCACGTCACCATGGGCAAAGAGGAGATGATTAAAGGTGTGCTGTATGTTGTGAATGTGCTATACGCGGTGTTCGGTTTAGTGACTGCTGCCACGGGAATATGGTTCTTCGTGCAACTATCCGAATTCGTAGCGTTGCGAAACAGCAACCACTACTTATTGGACTATCGAGTTTACTGGCCTCAAGTGGCACCATGGCTGTTTATACTCCTCGGTTTATTTGTGATGATGGTGTCATTCTGTGGATGGTGCGGCGCTAACAAGGAAAGCAGAGGATTACTCGGTATTTATGGCTTATTTATGGTGCTCATCGTTGTTGGACAAGCAATTGCTGCCACTCTGATTTTCGTCTATGTTGATGGAGAGCATACAGACCGTTTCATAAAGGACACAGTGTACGATGGATATTACAACTCTCAGTCAAACCCTGATGTCTTCAAGGCCTTCGGAAGGATCGAAAGGAAATTGAGATGCTGTGGGGCAAACGATGCGCGTGATTACAGGAGCTGGAGGAACGACCTTCCATTGACGTGTTGCCAGGACAGCTATTACAGAGCTACTTGTGAATTCACCGATAAGGAAGCTAATGAAAGACTAGGTTGTGGTAAGGTAGCTGCTGTATACACTAAAATTATCTGTTCATCCGTTGCTGGAGCGTCGCTGTTGATATCATTGGTGGAGATCGCTGGTGTGATTCTTGCCTATAAGCTATTTCATTCGCTGAGAGAAGTCGAGCACTATTTGCCGGAACGAAAAGAGGGGGAAACTGAATGCTAAGTGAGGTGATGGAGGCAATATGGATGGGTCAGGCAAGGTTTCAATGGGTATGAAATTACCTTCAAAAGTTGTGCCATAGGACTGGTTTTGTTTAGCTAAATTAATAATATCAAAGGTTTTCCAATATCTCGCTATTTCAATGCATAATGCATTGTGGGAAATCAATTTGTGTTCATTTGTCATATGTGAATTTTTTCCACTCCAGTCCTCTACCGACATCTGCTAGGTATATATAGTTGATTCGTCTGTCGCCTCACTGCCTTTAGATTAACCGAATTTTTTCATAGTAAAAATCCACCGATTGTGTCGAGTCGAGCCGAGCCTGGAGCATTTTTCTTTTGGAAATCGGCTCTATCACGGCTTTAGATGGCTTTCTTAGTTGAACCGAGAGGAGACAAAAGGAACATATAACATGTTCATAATTATATGTATACCTTTATTAAACCCTCGAAATTATTGTATAAGTTCATTTTGTTCCATGTGAGTCACTCTTTGTTGTATCAGGGTGACCCGCTACTGTTCGAGTCATGTTTTTGTCGTAACCAAATTATCCAATTGAGATATTATTGAATACAGAATATTCAATGGCAATAATTAAAGTACGAGTTTTTAAGCAATTATTGTTATCTCCTCTCGGTACTATTATGAAAGCTTTAAGGGGTTAAAGTTCGTTTCCTTGATTAAGGAATTCTAGACATCTTTACCCCATATAGTGTAAGACATTCCAAATTATGTTACCATATTTAAAGTATTATGTTATATTAAGTTTGGCAGCCAAACTCATCAAATACATACTGCCGTTTTTATAAATTAAACATTGTATGCGAATGATTATTATTTAAGATGTTATTATCACTTGTATTTAAAATGTGTAAGACGTGTCGAATGTGAAACCTTTCTTATAACTTATATAATATTAGTTACTTGTACTAGCCGTTGCCCTCAACTTCCTTTACTTCAAGTAACATTTTATAAAATCATATGATTTAAATTATTAAAAGTGTCATTTAATCAAAATTCTCAAGTAATTGTCACTTTTACATATTAGGGTCAATTTGGCGGGTCATAGGCCATGTGAGGATCTCGAGTGGGTTTAATAAACTCCTTCCTACTTAAGATCTGATTCATTACCTGACGCACTGTTAAATGTGAACTCAATATGAAACATAAACTGTATACATATGCCCATTAATGCTTCTCCTTACTGAAGTTTACGCACAATTGTATTATGATATTCAACTATCAAAGTTACCTGTTTTTTGAGATGAGAATTTAGGTCAAACTCCAATGCACACATCGATCAAAGCGACAGTGATCATTGATGTTACACAATGCTTGTTCATGGATAACAACTTTTGGGAGGCCCCGTGTGAAGCGACCTCAAAACAGTTATAGCATAAACTAAAATTTACTATTCAATACATCTTTGTGTTTCACAACACTTTTCGGCGCGTCCTACATAATGCAGACAAGTGTTATGTAATTCCGTCCTAAGATTGCTAAATAACTTATTTGAACAATTTTTGTATCGTTAAGTATATATTATAGAATTTATTACACAATGTGGGCACAGGTTTACGATTCGGAAAGTACTAGAATGTGTCGTTGTTTTGTATGTTTCTAGGTACTAGGCGCCTTGTTTATCCAATTGTTAAAAAAAAATATATTTTTATGAGTCTCGAAGGCTTTTTCGTTATCGCCATAATAATAGGTTTTCTACAATATGCCAAAGAAATGTTTATGTACAAAATCCATATTCATTTTTGAGTTTTTGCATGCAATATATAATCATAAGTTATAACATCACTTTATCCGTAAGTTATTTTTATATTTTTGATACATTTAGTTGAGATTAGTCTTAAGTTTTATGTAATAAAGTTTAAATATATATTTTCGAATCTCAGTGAATTTTTATTTTTTCTCTTTTTATTTATTCAGCGTTTTTCTGGGTAACTTAACCAGTATTATTATTAATTTAACACTTATATAATAATTGATACACGATTTCATCAATCCCTAATGAAACACTTAAGGATCCATTAAACTATTAATGATAGTAAATTACGTAACTATTACTTTCACTTTACCTAATTGGGACTAATTCTAATTGATAATTAACAATGATTATATATAGTACAACTTAGTTCAGACCAGTTTTGTGGGACTATATTATTTTAAAGTTTGTAAACTGCTATAGGAAGTTGTTAATATTTGAATCTATGAAGACCAAATTTGACTTAACCTAACAGGTTCATATAAAATGTTCATATACCTTAATTTGTATATATTATTAAAAAATGGTTGGTATACAAATTTTTGTTATACAATAACTTAACATTCATACGTTTCTTCGAAAACGGAGCAGTTCCGAAATGATAGCAGTCTTAAAAACTTAAAATGCTTGAGGACTCGAAAACCCGATGAAGAATTCCAAAGCTCTTGATATTTCTGTACCTGACGACAGATTCAATATAGTATCGGTATGAGTTAATATGTATCTAAGATAACTTGTGTCCGCGGTCATCGTAACTGCGACTGATCCAGGTGAAGATTGCATTAAGGCGAAAGCCCTAACAACAATAAGGTGTCTTTGTCAAGATAGAATAAAACCTCTCTAAGTGTGTAACGACATCCTTCAACTTGCTCTTAGAGATTAACTATTGTCTTATCACGAAACAAACACGGGAAGCACCTTTATAAGAGGTCAGTGCCCTTCCGTGAATACTTTTTGAAGTTTAATTAATTCTTGTTTGTACTTATTAATTAGAAACAGTTGACTAACAGTAAAATGAAAAACACAATTAATACTAGGAAAGGAATGCTTGGAGAAATGATTTTTTTAACAATTATGCATAATAAAAGTAATTTAATTTTAAATATTTTGTTAGAGCAGTCATGGTCGGAGTTAAATCTCTCATCACAAGGATTCGTTTTGCAAGATAGCGGTGCAACTTGTTACAATTCATATAAATATATTAGTGGAATATTATTATTATTATTTTTTGGACCACAAAATTAGGACAAACACGTAAATTGACATACATATAAAAATATAAAAATCGGTGCCGTCCCTAAAACATGTGGCGTCCACCAGCGACATTGATTTGATATTAATTATTAGTAATCATAACAATCAAATACCAAATCAGTGGAATTTTAATTTATACTTGTTAAATTATTTTATTTTATATTATTTAAACCGAACAATCATATTTTTGAAGTATATTTTTTACTAACCAAACGATGAAGTCAACTTCTATTGTTTAATTTAATTTTTCCAAAATAGATTAGAGACTATAAGTCTATGGTTAATGCTAAAATATTCTATTATTAATAAATCTCCTCTCTTATTGAATAACCTTGACCTTCATATAATAATAAAATTGCATTAACAAGAAAAACCCGCCATGCAAGAAAATATATCTGATGATTATTATGTGTATGTTGTTATCCTGTTAAGTGACATCGTATTAATTATATCAACACTATATACTAGCAACTATAACTTATCGCACAATATCTATGTCTAGTAAATTAAAGACTACTTTTAAGAAACTATGAAGAATGTTAAGTTTGAATAAAATAGGAACTAAGATTTTAAAGTTCTTTTAGCTGGTCTATCTCTGCTGAAATTGTATGTAAGTAGCAGGTAAGTACATAAGTAAATGCGCAGACACATGTGCACTCTCAATTACGTGCTGCTGTGACACAGAAAGTAAATATGCGTAGAAAAGTAAATATGCGTAGAGATTCAAAGAAAAAGGAACCTTTGCGGTTTCACTTTGTAAACGAAATTGTTAATAGGAGCGAGTCAAATAACATTTAGAAAAAAAGGGTGCGTGTACTTATGTACGCGCGTAAGAAGTTATACTTCTTTGGCATTATTAAAAATAGTTTTTGATTGCATGCAAATAATTAATTACAATTAAATAATCAAAGACTGGAAAAGGAGTCATTATAGTCAATTAAGTTCAGTTTACATTTGAAAAATTAAATAAATATGTAATTATTTATTATTATTTTCTTACATTAAGTGTAACATAAATTATATTTAGTTAAAATTATATATTATTATATATTAAGAACATCTCTACCAAACACTAAGAAGCATGTTGTTGCTTTGGCAGTATTGCACAATATAAAATTAATAAATTTCTTTGAAAAAATAATCAAAACTCCTTTATTTGTTTAAAAGGTAAATGACAAATGTCATTATGGTCATTCAAAATTCTTGGCATACGAACTTCACGCATATTCTATTTCTTTTTACTTGTAGATTGTCTTATTCCTATCTCGCTCGCGCACGCTATACTCACACTCCCAATTTTGTGTCACAGGTGCGCGCGCATCGTAAAATTTCACTCTCATAAATTTTTCATAACGCGCCTAAAGAAGTATAACTTCAAAAATCTAGGAAATATTAATCGTGTCATAAGCTTTGCCTTCTTGAATATATCACGTTTCCTTTCAACTCATTCTTGGAATTTAAAAACTAAGCAATTTTTAATTTATTGTTGCTTTATTCCCTGTACATATAAAATATATAGATTATATATATAGATTAAAATGTTTTCTACTTCTTTCCTCTAAATCCAGAGAGCTATTAATCTGTTCTATTTACTTATACATATTTATATCATAGGTATAATAGAATTTCAGCGTAGTTATCAATGGTATATTGGAACCGTATTAAATTAAGTAAGTGGGTTACAGCTGTATTGGCGATAACAAAAATTGAAATCAGAAACGATTTTCATCGATATTTTATTTATACATTAAAACAAATACTATTATGGTATATAGACTTTGTTTTGTTGCGTTTTTTCACTTAAAATCGTTTCCCCTTAATGAAAGAACTCCCCTTGATAAAAAGACTTTAATATCTTATATGTAATAACTAAATCGCTTGTTAGCGATAAGGCCGCTTTTTTATATGTATTTTTTATAAGGTAACGAAGTGTAAAATACGAATTTCCACCCATATCACCTCGACGTCCGTC